AGGCCCGTTCCTGTCAGTGGGCGTGGCACATCCAGCCCCTAGTGACACTACATGAGCTGGGGGAGCGGAGAGCACAGGGCTGGCTGCAGAGGGCTCCAGCCTCGGAGACCCCCAGCCCCAGCGAGGCCACAGCCAAGATGGCCCCTGTATGGCTGGCCTGAGCTCCCAGTCTGACCCCGGAGCCCAGCGTGCCCTGGCCCTGCTGGCGGTGCACCCAAAACTGTCAGGGGTGGCACATCCACACGCAGGCCTGTCTGGCCGTCTCTGCCACAGGCAGGCACAGGAGCATCTCCAAGGCCCGGCCGCCCTGGGGCCATGAGAGCCTCCCAAGGCCGCAGGGCCTGCGGGACGGGCAGCTCACAGGGTCTCTGCCCGGCCAGGTTCTCTACAAGCTGGCGTGGAGCGAGAGCGTGGAGAGGGACTGCACCACCTTCTGCGCCAAGAAGTGAGGACACCCGCCAATCCCGCCACAGCCCCCCAGAGCTCCTCCTCTGTCCTCTGTTCCCCTAGGCCCCCACCACTGCCCCCCCACTCAGGTCCACCCCACAGCCCCCCACATGCCCACTCTGCTCAGCCCCCACCCCATCACACGGTGCACAACCCCTGGAGATCTCTATGCCTCCCACTCCCGCCCCCCCACACGCACACACACACTTCTCTCCTTTTTACGCCTGATGACAGCAAAGGTTTCTGTGCCCCACAGGTTTGCCGATCACCTGCACAAGTTCCACGAGAATGACAACGGGGCCGCAGCCGGGGACTTGTGGCAGTGACACCCCGGGGCCGCCCCGCTCACACCAGTGATGACAGCACCCCCACCCCCTGCTTATTCAGCCGCTTCTAATCACTTAGACTTCCCTGGAGAATCCCCCGAGGAAACTGCCCTTGCCCTCTGCCCAAGAGTTCCAGGGGTCCCAGGTCCCCGTGGGCCCCTTTAAAAGAATGTCTCTGCCACTTCAGGCCTCCTAGGCCCAGAAAGTCCCAAGGCCTGGCCCAGCTGGGCCCCGTCTCAGCCAGTGCTCCAGTCTGGGCCCTCCCCCCAGCCTGACCACCAGCTCTGATGGCAGAGGTGCCGAGACTCTGACTTCCCACTGTCTCTGGCCATGGTTAATCCAGCTGGGATCCCCTGGCCTCTCTGTGCCAGGCTCTGGGATCCCCTAGGGCTCCCCGAGGACCCACCACCACCTCCAAGAGATAGAGGACCCTTCCTTGCAGGCCAGCAGCCTTTGAGTCCATCCCCTCAGCCTGCCTTTGTCACATTCCACCCCACCCCTGAGGAGCCCCAGAGGGCATGAGTTTCTGTTACCCACTCCCTGCCCCCAGACCACTGATTTTTGCTTTATTCTTTAGCAAGGTATTCTGGCCTCCAGGCGAGGAGGCTCCAGTGGGCACCCCATGCCACAGGCTCTTCAGACCCACGGGCTGGTCTGAGCGGCCAGGTGCTCCTTAGCCAAGCAGAACATCTCAGCACGCCACCTCAGGGCCACAGGCAGACCTTCCTAAGTTCAGTTTGCACTTGCACGTTCAGCTTTGCACGCTTTGAATAAACACACGGTTGCAACCACACTGGTGCTAGCGCCCTGTGACTGGGGCTGTGGGAGGCTGGTGGGCGCCTGCAGCAGCGCACACGAGGAGCTGGGGCTCTGCGTGGCCCCTGGCACACAGCAGGTCTCTGCCCCTTCTTCCATCCAGGAATCCCACAACTGGGTCCAGAGCTTTGCTGAAACCTAAACCCAGTGTCTCGGTTCTCGTGGGCAGACCAGCAACCCAATCAGAAAGAGAAATCCATTCCTTCTTTGAAAGACCCATCAGACTGTGGTTGAATGTGTGACGTGTGTTGGATGTGACGTCAGCTCCTGGGGAATCCCTGCTTCCGTCTGGGCGCCCTGGAGCTGTGCTCTCCCGTCACGCCCTGTCTGTCTGTGTCCCTTCCCTTGGGGCCCTGCTTGCCAGGCACTGTGGAGCCCATGCCCACCAAGCCCCCTGAGTGCCAGCCTTGCATAGGGGCACCTCTGAGCCATAGATTCCAGGCTGCCTGGCCCCCAGCCCAGCCCCACCCATGCAGATCCCCACCCACCCAGACGAGGAGCTTCCTCTTAGTCTGTGGTGGCTGGCATTCCCTCACTGGCCAGGTGGCCTGAAACTCTGGCTCCAAACCCAGCTCCCACCCTGCAGCCCACCTAGGCAGAGTCCTCCGTGCTAATCCCTGTCTCAGCCCTAAACACTCTAGAGTTTGTGCATCCAGGGGCCCCCTTTGGGGGCATCCCACCCCCACTCCCCTCATCATCTGCCCCATCACAACTTCCTCCAAGACCTCGGAACCTCCTGCCCTCAGGGACACCAGATAAACCGATCCTCCCGACCCTCATTCCCGTCCCCAGGACAAATGTGCTCTTGACTAATCAGCCCCTCCTCTCCTCACTACCCCTCCCGACCCTAGTCACTTCCACTTCTCCCACTAGTTCCTCCTCCTCCGTCAGAGTCCCGTCAGAGTCACTAAACAACTTGCTCCTCCTCACTTCCTCCTCCCTGGGGATCAGACTTACCAGCGTTCCCAGGGTTCTGTTTCCCAGGACCCTCTCTGACCAATGACAGCCCATCAGTGGACCTCAGCCTACTACTTGGGACCAGGTTAGTCCACTGGGGGCCAGGTTCTTCCATCTCCCAGGAGGGTGGGGTCCACAGCCCCATCACCCAGTGCAGAGCCTCCCTCTCTTCTCTCACACCCCACAGGCGGTCTCCCTCCCCCCTCTCACATTCCTAAGTCCCTCCCAGCCTCATTCACAGGTCTCCTGGTTCCCGGCCAGCGCGGAGCTCCAGTCTATGGCTGGTCCACACCTAAGCTTTCGTTAAATGTTTGCTGGCCATGTCCTGCCGAGAGTGCAGCTTGTATGCGTGTGGAAGGGGAGGGGCTCAGTTTCAGGGCCTCAGACAAGGCCTGCCTTGCTTCAGTGCCCATGTGGAGGGCGCCCCAGGGCTCGGGGGCAGGAGGTCCAGGCAGGCTCCAGGCCAGTCTTCACCTTCACCAACCCACTGTCCCTCTCAAGGCCCCACACCTTCCATCCACAAGACTGGGATAAAAACCCTTCCTTGCCTGCCCTGCTTCCTGGGAAATTAGGTGCGAAATGGCTTTGGGAAAGGTTAAGGGCACTCTGCAAGAGGAAAGCAACAGATGGAGGCGCTCCCTGGCAGACCACAGAACTGCCAGAGGTAGGGCTGCAGAGGGTTTAGCTGGAGCAGGGAAGAGCTGCTCTAACTGCTTGTGGAGGCTGAGGGCCTGGGGCTGGGGGCAAGAGGGAGAGGAGGGGAGAAGGTGCTTCGGCACCCGCACCTCTCTGCAGGAGCCTCAGTGGGTCACATCACTGAGCAACACTTCCACACTTCTGTTCACACGCAGTGATGCCTTCCCTCTCCCCTCAGACCCCTTCCGGGCCTGCTGGAGTCCCTCCACCTTCTGGGAAGTCTACTGCAGGCACCCAGGTGCCCACAAAGGCCAGCAAAAGTCTTGTTTTCTTAGCCAGACTGGACTCTACCCTAACCTATGCCCTGGTTCTGGGGCCGTAGAGCGGGACAGGGGTGAAGAAGCCAGGGCTGTAGACCCCTCTCAGCCCCCTATGACCTCTTAACAACGGGGGTGGGAGGAGGAGCCGCCTCAGTCTCCGCAGCACGGTGAAGATGGGGAGGTGGGGACCTGCTCAGGTCTTCCCAGCCCTGTAGCCTCGGGGCGATTTCCGGCACCGAAAGGGCTGGAGGAAGGGGGCGTGGTGCTCACCCTCGGGATTTTTGAAAAGCAGACGTCGACTTCCCCCGTTGCGACATCTGGGCCTCTTCGAGGCTCCCATTGCCCTGGCGTCTGAAAGTCTGGGACAGTGGCGAACCCCATCGGGCAACCATCACCAACGGGCGCCCACGACCCACCACGCAGGCTACCCACCCGGGCTCCACCCGCCGTGCTCCAGGAGCCACCACCCCGGGCTCCGGGGGCGCTTCCACGACGGTGGGATTCCAGCGCTTGGCCTGGGGCCGACTCCGTGAGATGAGGCGGTCAAGTACTCGCGCCCCAAACGGGGTGGCTGCAGGCTGTTTCCTAATCCCTCTGGGCCCCAGAGCTCCGCCGCCCCGCCGCTGCTGCCTCCCGAAGGAAGTGAGCAGCAGCCGCGGGTACAGCTCGGATTCCACAAGGGGCCGGGGGCGCAGTGGGGGCGGGGCCGGCGAGGCGGGTGGGAGGCGGGACTCCCTCCGGGGGCGGGGCCGGGGAGGCGCGCAACGCGCGGGCTAGGGGCACAGGGGCGAGCGGGCAGAGCGCGCGCGTCGCGGAGCTGGGCTCGGAGAGCGCGGGGCTTGGCAGCCTGGAGATCCAAGCCGGGGCCGCCCGCGAGGAGCGCACTAGCCTCGGAGGTTGTGGACGAAGGAGTGAGGAGCCACCTCCAACGCCGACTCTCGCTGGGAGGGAGCATAAACCCGCCGTAGGCCATGAGCCGCCGGGCCCCGGGAGCCCCTCCGAGGTCCGGGCAGCGCTCCACCGGTGCCCTGGCCCGCCCAGCCGCAGCTGCGCGCCTGTAGGTACGGCCTGCTTGTCCTCAGTTACCTCGTCCCCCCCTCCCCTTGTCCATCATCCTGGACCCCGTCAGTCCCTGAGGGCTTGCGTGTGTGTGCGCACCGCTGCCCCGAGGAGCGCGGCCGCACGCGCCCCGGTCCGCGCGTGTCGTCTTTGTGTGCGCGGGTGAGAGGGAGCTTGACCGGGGACGTGCGCCCCCTGCGGGAATCGGCTCTCCTACCCCCATCCCAGGCTGAGCGGGAGTAACGGGAGGGGCCAAACCGCCTCCGGAGCAGCTGCGCCCCCGCCCCCTCCTAGGGCCCAGGGCCAGGGTTGGGGAGAACGCAGCGGGCCCCCTAGAGGAGGGGGTCCCAGGCTGGGGCGGAGGGGCGCGCGGTCTTTTCCCTAGGCTGTGGGTCTGGGGCGGGGCGGGGCGGGGCGGGGAGGGCCTACCTGGAATGAGGGTGGGGACCACGCGCCCTCGGTTCTGCCCAGGCCTTCTTTCTTACGAGCACCATTCTCTACCCGCCCACCCCGGAGCTCTTCGGCAGCCCTGGATAGTGGGGAGGACCACTGAGAGTGCCCGAGAGGCCGGCGCCTTTAAGAAGGGGCGGGTTCGTGCCCTCCATTCAGGCCTTTTCGGCCTTGGCCATTGATGAACCTGCGGGCAGCGCGGGCCCCAGAACCGCGCCAGCCCATCAGGCCAAGGCCGGACATGGGCAGGAATCCGCCTGGGCCCCCAGCAGCCTACGAAGTGAGCTCTTCAGGGGGAGGAGTCTGCAGCGACTGGCCCCTCGGGAGCCGAGAAGGGGGGGACGAGCAGCCGCGGGAGTGACCGTAAGCATGGTAAACCAAGCTGGTGCAGGGGAGAGCCCCAGGGTCTGGACTCAAACCTGGGTTGAACCCTACCTCTGCATCTTTGAGCCTCCATTATCTGCTCTGTAAAATGGGGGTGATGCTGCCTACAGCCTAGCTGGGTGACCAGCAAGAGTCGCCCACTCCGATGCAGGTCACTGGGTGTGGGGGAGTGAGTCCTTCTGGGAGGGCAGGAGCAGGGATTGGTTATCCCAAGAGGCTTTGGCTGCTTTTGGGGGGTACGATCTGAACTCCCCCCTATTCTGGCCCTCATTTTGAACAAATCTCTTCCCTCCAGCCACCCTGCTCTATCCAGGAGGTTGGGTGGGACGAACCTAGAACCTTTCAGCTCTAGAAACCTAGAGAGAGGTCTGGGGGTGGGGGCAGTGCTGTTAGGCTAGTGTGTGGGTCTCAGAGGCAGCGTTCCCCGCGAGCTGCTTCCTTCTACCCCTCTCACCTTCTAGAGGGCGTGAATGATGGTGGGCAAGACGTTCTGATGCAGGTTAGTTGAATGTTCTAAGTGATGGAGAGTTAATGCCTTTATTCTTACCCGTATTGTGAAAAATCTGTCTAAAGTTTCTAAACATAGTTCTCCTAAGGAGAACCCCCACACTCACACCCCAGGGTAGACTTCCCGAGGGAGAACTGGAGGTAAGACCCCCATCCCAAGCCAGGTGGAGCCAGGCTTCTGCCAAGACTGAGCGGCTGGCTTCAAGCTGACGGCCGCCGGGCTAAAGGCAGCATGCTGTGTCTCCTGTAGTCTGCACAACAACCCTGTGGGTTTTATATTCTTATTACCCCCACTTTACAGAGAAAAAAAGAGAGGTGAGGAGGCGAAATGACTTGCCCAAAGTCACTCAACCAACAAGAAGCCAGCTCTGTAGAGCACTTTCCTCAGGCAAGAACCAGGTTGATACCTCTTGCACTGTCTGCCTGTCCCGTATTGCAGGGAATTGGGGATTAGGTGCCTCCAACCTCTTCTTGGATGCTGTCCCCATGGGGTTCCGAAGGTCCAGTCTCGGAGCCTGCCTCACTTCCTGCTCCTTACTGTCCACGTGGGACTCGAAGGGTGGTGGCAGCTTTGGAGTCTGAGGAAGTTTCTCTCCCCTCCACCCCCTCACCTGGCTGGATCTGTTTTTATGGCTGTGCTCTGTCCCAGCAGATGTGACTCCTCAAATCTGGAGGTGATCACAGCCTGAACCCGGCTGGGCAGCGTGAGACAGGGCATCAGTGTGTGGGAGCACAACATTTTCGGGCCCCTCTGGGTGGAGCAGGGTCTGGGCTCTCTCGCCAGCTACCGCCCACCCTCTGTTTGTAGGGCCCCCCTGGCTCCTATGGTGGGTACACCACTCAACTCTCTGCTCGCAGTCCGATGAAGACAGGCCACAGCGCAGTGGTGTTGTGGAGGTGGAGGGGGCCAAGCAGAGGCAGGGACAGGATAAAGGGGGTGTTCCCAAGGCCTCTGTGGCCTCGAGGCCTGTCAACTACTGGGGCAGAGGAGTGGAGCAGCTGGGGTGATGCCAGGCTGGGTGCTAAGACTCTGAGCTGAGGACAAGCAGGGGTTGGAGGAAGAGGATGTACTAGAACTTGGATGTGGTGAGTTTGCGGTCCTGGATATCAGGCAGGCAGGGAGTTCGCTTGCTTGGAGGAAGGCCCAGGGAAACTTTACCAGCATCCATAATACCCAGGGTTCTGGGGTGCTCAGCACTGAGGGGGAGGCACGGTATGAGTGTCATGAAAAAGCCAGAACGCACACTGGTGGGCTGAGTGGTAGGGGTTGAGAATGGTGTCCTGTGAGTTTGGGGGGCTGAGTCAGGGGCCAGGGAGGCCTGGGAGGGGTATGAATCAGGGCCAAGGCGAGATCCATGTCACTGGGAGAGAGGGAGAGACTGCAAGGCTCAGGCCAAGGCTGGAGAGGGGAAGCCTCTGCTCTGCAACCCCAGGAGGGCAAGGCTGGTGCAGCGAGAGCCAGAGCCATGCCAGCCTGCTTGCCGACCGCAGAGCCTGGCCAGGAACTGTCCAGCACCAGGTGCTCCTGAAGAAGGACGGGCTTTCCTCCTCAGCCCCCAGGCCTGGGTGTAGCTCATCGTTCTGGGCCCCACTCCCTGCTTGTCTGACATCTAAATCCCAGCTCTGGATGTGCCTGCCCTCCAGCCTGTCGGGGTGCCCCCTCCTCTGTGGGTGGGCACCTCCATCTCTGAGTCAGGGCCCAGGTAATCCCACTGTGCCCTCAGAGGGAGAGCTCTCCAGGGCTCCGTGGGGAGTAGCATCCGCCACAGAAAGGGGCAGATCTGAGCATGGCCCCTCGGTCCCCTCCCACCCACCTGCAACCCTGGCTCCTGACACATAGTGGGAGCCCGGTGTAAATCCAGTGGCTTCCCGGCAGGGAAGATGTGAGAGGAAGAGGGTTTTCAACAGGGGCCGAGCCCAGTGGGAGCTGGGCTCTAGAAAGACGGGCTTGGCTGCACGGAGAAGCCTGGATTTGTCGGGGGGTGGGGGGCTGGGGGGGCAGGGGAAGTAAGGAGGCCTCTGCCGCCCTCTGCCCGGAGCAGTTGGAAGGAAAGAGGGGATGAAGGCAAGACATTTAGGAACTGGGAGCTGAGGAACTTTATTTTTATTTTTATTTTTTTAAGATTTTATTTATTTATTTTTAGAGAGGGAAAGGAGGGAGAAAGAGAGAGAGAGAGAAACATCAATGTGCGGTTGCTGGGGGCCATGGCCTGCAACCCAGGCATGTGCTCTGGCTGGGAATCGAACCTATGATGCTTTGGTTTGCAGCTCACGCTCAATCCACTGAGCTATACCAGCCAGGGCAGGAACTTTATTTTTAAACAAATTACTTCTTTAATCCTCACGACAGCCTGTTGATAGCCGTCAGTGCTGGTGTCGCCCTGTTACAGATGAGGAAACTGAGGCCCCGGGCATCTGAGTCGCCCACCCACAGCGACACGGCTAGGAAGCAGAGGAGTGGGGATTCCAGTGCAGGAGGTCTGGCTCCAGATCTCAGGCTTATAAGCACTCCTCTGCCCCGTGTGTCAGATGTCCAGATGTGGAGGTAGGGAGACACCGGGCAGTGGGCCTGTGATGGGAACATCTGTCGGATGCAGCTGTGGGGCCCCTTAGGGCTGAGGGTTTGCAGGTCCGAGCCAACAGGGCCTGCCAAGGCTCCAGGTGTCTGTGAAAGCTAGAGGGCCCAGCAGAAGGCCATCTGCTCTCCCACAGTGACAAAGGGTGGGGCTGTGTCCAAGGCGTGAGAACACACGGGGCACAGAGCTGCCCCAGCAGCTTTAACAGCTGCCTCCCAGCGATGCTCTCCACGCTCCTCTGCACAGGCCTTGGGCCCTGCAGCGGTCTGCGTGGGAGAGCAGGTGGCCCACCTTGAAGCTCTGGCAAGTGATGCTCAGGGAAGCCAGGACCCCCGGAGCACCCCCCTCCCACCACCCATTCAGAGGCAAAGTCCCAGGGGCGTTCAGTCTGCACCTGTCCCAGTCACAGGTCAGTGTCCTCCTCCCACACCCACTTCTGCCTTCTGGCAGGGTCATGCGGTGAGCACAGATATTTTGGGGAGGAAGGGTAGGGGAATTCCAGCCACACCTCACTCTCACAGGAAGCCTTGGTTCAAAACCTACCCAATGGGGACACTTCTGGGGGGTGGTAGGTAAGGTGGGCTGTAGGCTTGAGAACCGACACCCAAGGAGCCAACAGAGAAAGAGAAAAATGTGCCCGCCCGGTTGACTCCGCGCCTCCTCCTGCAGGGGACAGAGGTTCAGGCAGCCTGCCCGCAGGGGCGCTCCTGGCTAACGCAGCAGCCTCCCCGAAGTTTGTGTCCTGCAGGGGGCCGGAGGGGACTGTCCCGCAGAGGCCAGGAGGGCAGCTGGAAGCACAGCCGGATGGAGGACGGGCGGAGCTCTGTAGAGTGCAGGACTGGCCTGGCCAGGCCAGTGGTCCTGAGAACCCCAGAGGAGAGGACATCAGTGTGCACCGCTCGGGCAAGCTTCCCAGGGGCAGGGAAGAGCCAAATGAGTTATTGTCTCCTCTTCTTGTATTGGAGGACCCCAAGAAGAGGCCCCAGTTTCCCCAGCATGAATGGTTTATGGGGGTGGGCGCCCCAGCCAGAATAGAGCACCCTTAGATCTGATCTTCACCCGTGCGCGTACCTTTCCGAGCACGCAGCTACGTGAGGTGTGGGAGGAGGATGCTGCCAGGGTCCTGCCTGGGTGCATCCCTGGCTGGCAGCCTTTCAGGGTGCTGCTCGTTTGCACTGCAGGGAGTCCTTCGCTTTCCTGGGGCTCCCCAGAAACACTGTTGGTGGGGAGAATGCCTGCGGGTGTGGGCCAGACGCCCTCCCCCTGCCCCCGCCTCCCCGGCCCCAAGCAACTGCCCTCTGTGTGGTAGATCGATTGGTCGTCTGCACATTAGTGGGGGCGGCTAAGACGCCTCATTAATATTTTAAGGAATGACCTGGCGGTGGGATCCGGAACTGCGTGCCGCGGAGGCCGACGGCTGGTCTTTTTCTTTTCCAATTGTCAGCTCTATTTTTACCACCGGAAGGCCAGCTGCCCCCTCTCCCAGGCCTCTGCTCGGGTAGGGGTGGGGGAGCGTCTTCTCTCTGGGTTCCTGGCGGAGGGGTTCGGAGAGTCCGTGGCTTGGAAAGGCAAGGGGCCCGAGACTCTGCTGGGCTTCCTGTGCCCCGCCTCCCTGAAGCCCCGTCCCATCTCGCTCCGGTCCTGGTGAGATGGGAACAAAAAAACAGTTTTCCGGGAGAAGCCAGAAAGCCCAGCTAAGCCTAACAAATACAACCAAACAAAAACCCTGTGATGATGGAGGGAGGTGGCCTGCCCCGCGGGGCTCCGGGGAGCCAGCGCCTGGTGCCCATACCCTGCAGGCCACTTGTCTCCATCCCAATCCTCAGAGAAGACGAAAGGGGAAAGGCCACGCCCTGCCTGCCCCCATGCCTGTGCCTCCTCCCCCGGTAGCCCCAGTCTAAAGTTTCCTGCGCCGTTTTATTGGTGGGGTGCCGGGACCTGGGGAGACCCAAGGCCTGGCCAGAGGCAGAGCCCAGGCCTCCCCTCACCCCATCTTGCGCTGTCTTGCCCTGGCCCACGGGTCTCTTCTGCCTCCCTGGGGCCATAGGAAGAGGTGCTCACCCAGCCAGCTGTGGGGTCAGGCCTCGAGCCCAGGTGCGCCAAGGCCCCTGTACGCGGCCTCATCCCAGGACTGGCCCACAGCTCACCCTTGCCCCTGCTGGGCCTGAGCCCTCTTCCGTGTGACCTCCCACCTCCCCTTTGCAGAGAGCCCTTTGCAGAGGTCCCCAGTCCCCCTATCTGTAACGAAGTATGGGGCTTGCCGATCTGGTTGCTTGTGACTTTTACCTTTGGCTTCCCAACCTCTGCCACTTCTTTGTAGCCCTGGCCAGACCCAGGGGACACTGAGGGCTGCTGTGCCGGGCATCGGGCCAGCCGGCAAGGGTGGGTGGGGAAGGTCAAGACAGAGCCAGCCTCCCAGGCCAGTCCCTGCCCCGGACGTGGCCACAGCCACCATATGCTTGGAGGGTTCCTCTCTGAGCGCCACCTCTACCTCCAGGGAGGACACACTGGGACCCCCTCCCCACCCCCTGCCATGAGAGAGCCCCTCTCCAGGGTCCTGTCTCTCCACTCTGCCACTTCTCCTTGGGAATGTTGTCAGCAAGAAGAGCAGAGAGGACAGGGATTACGGCCAAAGGATGGAGAACTGGGACTGACTTCTCCCCGTCCCCACCTGCCACATTGGGGAGCAAAATTATGTCAAGCAGGGGCATCCACACTTGGCGCTGGCTCCAGTGCGAGCCTTTCTGAGGCTGGCGTGTCACCTGGCAGTCTCAGCGGTCCAGGGGGAGGCGGCCACTTTGGGGAGCACTGCCGTGCCGGGTAAAATAGACGGGCTTGGAGCGTGGGGACAGGCTCAGCTGCGGGGCTTCCTCTCGCTCCCACCTCCCAGGGGGCGGCTGAGGCCTCAGCTCATTTTCTCTGCAGGACTTGATGGTGGCAGCAGGTGCATCTCTGCCTCCACTTCCATTACCAACGTGACTCAGGCCTACCTCCTGCCCCCAGAGAGGGCCTGTGCCAGGTTAGGGGAGAGACACGGAAGCACACCTGGAGCACCCTGCTGTCTGCACCCTGCTAGAGGGGCGTGAGGAAGGGACTGGGAGCTCAGGGGAGACACTCATGCCAGCTGGCAGAGGGGGCAGAGGTCAGGGAAAGCTTCCTGGAGGAAGTAGACCTCAATTAACTATTGAAGGATAAGTAGGGTTTAGCCAGATGAAGGGAGGAGGAAGAGCAGGGCATTAAAAAGGCCCAGCATGAGCCAAGTTCACGGGCGCCTCAGCCCCCATTCTCCCCAACCCCTCTTCCCTTGTCCTGGTGAGTCTGCCTCCAAGGTCATGCTCAGGCCTACAGGGAGGGCCCTCGGCATCCTCTTGAGGCATGAAGCCCAAGGCAGGCCCCGCCTCCTTCAGGAAGTCTCCGCAGCTCCTCACGGCCCTCTCCCCCAGTACCAGGGCAGGAGTCTGAGGAGACCTGCGGGCTTGGAAAACTGTCATCTATGCTCAGTGGCCTGTTTCCTCCCTGGGGCCGTCCCGTGGTTACTGACTGCAGCCCAGGTCCCAGGCTGCCCCGAGGTGAGAGGGAATTCCCACAGTGCCCTACGGCCCAGAGGCCCTGCACATGAGCTCACAGAAGTGGAGCAGCTATTTTTACCTGGCTTTAATTAGAGTCTGGATCCCAGAGGAGAGATGAGATGGTACTCCCAAGAGCTGCAAGGGCCATGCCGGGAAATGTGGGATCCTGGGAGGGCAGCTGAGGGCATGACCCTCTGCCTCAGTTCCCCTGACAGTGGGCTGACCCCCTAAGATGGGCTCCTCAAGGCAGGGCAGGACCGCATCACCCCTCTTGTTCTCCATTAGTAAATGCCCCCTGGCCTTGGGAGGGGGTTGCAGAAACCCAGCGACTGTGCCCATGCCCCAGGGGCAATGGCCACGTTGGGGGACAAGGAGGCAAAGCTCCCAAGCACCAGGTGGTTTGGCAACCCAGAAGGAGAGACGGGGGTCACCTAGGAATGAGGAGGAAGCTGGGGTCGGGAGACAGCTGGATTCCTGCATTGGGGCCTCTTCAAGAGGCTGGGTTTGGATGGGCGCTGGGGACAGAGCCCGGCTCCGGGAGGTGGAGACACAAGCTTGGGGTGCGGGCCGTTGTGATGGGGAGAAGTCGGAGGAGGCAGCACCTTCAATGACATTGCAGTCAGATTTGATTCACACTAGGAGGGGATCCCCAAGTCCTGAGGTCAGGGTGAGAATCCCAGGCCTCGCGTGAGAGTTTGGGTGGTGACTGCTGTGACATGCCCAGAACGCAAAACACATTCACTTGTTCATCCGGTCGTTCGTTCATTGTTTACAGGGCGCCTGCCATGTGCCAAACACTGGGGACACGGCCACTTTTAAGACTGTTAAAATACCCGCCTTGTGGAGCCGACATTCCCGGGGGAAGGGGCGAGGAGAGGGGAGAGCACAACCAAGCAAGTGAATAAATGGTACGTCAGAGGGGTAAACCCTATGGAGAAAAGTGAGCAGGCAAAGGGCAGGAGACGCCGGCGCGGGGGGGAGTGGGAGCATTTCTTACTCTCAGCAGAGTGGGGGTCAGGGAAGGCCACCAGACAAGGTAGCGTTGGAGCAGAAACCTCAAGGAGGTGACAGAGTGTGGAGGAGAGAACATTCCAGGAGAGTGCGAAGGGCCCGAGGTGGGAATGGTGACTGGCCTGCTTTCACAACAAGGAGCCCAATGTGGCCAGAGAGGTCAATGGAGGCAGGTCACGTGAGGCCAGCGGGGCCAGGGTGGGACTTGGGCATTTACCATGAGCAGAATGGGAGCCATCGCAGGACTTTGAGCAGAGCGGGGACCCGATGTGTCTTGTGTTGTAGAAGTGATGACTGGGTTCCTGGGTGAAGAACCGGCTCCAGAGTGAGGTCAGATTCGGGGGTACCAGTGAAGAGGCTGCTAAAGTACTGCCTGCAAAAGCATGGGTTATGTGGGTCCCTGGATGGCCTCGAGTGGAGGAGGGGTTGGGTTCCCGGCATATTTCAAAAGTGGACCCCAGAAGGTTGCACGTGACTTCTTGTCCACGGGGCTTTGGCGGCCCTCAGAAGAGGTTACTTGAGGAAGTGAGGTCACTGGAGGCTTGTGGGGCCTTCACTTCAAGGCACCTGTCATCCCGTCATCCCAGCCTCCTTTGGCTGGCCCAGGATTGACTTGGGGTTCCCTAACTGAGGTTGCTGTTTGAAAAGAGTGAGTGGGGTCTCCACCCCTGCAGATACTGCCCCCTACCTCCCTAGTGAGCCTCTTCACACACTGGTCCTGCTCCGAAAGGCCGCGGGTTGTAGAACCGCCCCGCCCCAACGCACAACTTCAGGGGGCCCTTAAGGGAGGGGGGCCAGAGAGAGGGCAGGTGGGTGCTCTGTTGGGAGGTCACAAAGTTACCAAGAACTCTTCTAACCTGCAGCTGCAGAGGGCTGCGATGGGACGGAAGCCATGAATGGTGCCGCCTCCGGCCCCGCCGCCGCCTCCGCCGCCCCAGTCCCGGACTGGCGGCAGTTCTGTGAGCTGCATGCGCAGGCTGCCGCCGTGGACTTCGCGCACAAGTTCTGCCGCTTCCTGCGGGACAACCCGGCCTACGACACACCGGACGCCGGGGCCTCCTTCTCCCGCCACTTTGCCAGCAACTTCCTGGACGTGTTCAGCGAGGAGGTGCGCCGCATGCTGGTGGCCGGAGAGGCTGAGCACCCTGATGCTATGGAGCCGGAGCCGGTGGCGCCCAAGGCGGCATCATGCAGCCACTCTCGGAGCTCCGAGGACGTGTCGGCCCAAGCGGCAGCCAAGGCTCGCGTCCGCAAGGGCTTCTCACTGCGCAACATGAGCCTGTGCGTGGTGGACGGCATGCGCGACATATGGCACCGGCGCGCCTCTCCCGAGCCTGACGCCACCCCACGTGCCACCGAGCAGCCGGCTGAGCCACGCGACAAGTGGACTCGGCGCTTGCGGCTGTCACGGACGCTGGCGGCCAAGGTGGAGCTGGTGGACATCCAGCGCGAGGGTGCACTGCGCTTCATGGTGGCGGATGATGCGGCCACGGGCCCGGGAGGCGCCGCCCAGTGGCAGAAGTGCCGCCTGCTCCTGCGCAGGGCCGTGGCAGGCGAGCGCTTCCGCCTAGAGTTCTTCGTGCCACCCAAGGTGAGCGCAAACCCCTACCTGGGAGATGGTGTAATGCCGTGGGCACAGGATAGGGTGCCGGTAGCTGGCTTTGGCATTGCCCGGTCTGGTTGGCAAGATGGAGTACTGAGTGTCAGGATCCTGGGATGTGGGCGCTCTGCTAGTCCCGCAAGTCACTCCTCAAGGCCTCTCTGGCTACGGGACAGGTTCTGGGGTGCTGTTCTTCACGGCGTTGGAAAGCCTGACTCCCTGCCCTACCCTCTTCCTTACCTTACACCCCAGGTGGCTGGAGCCACCCAGAGAGGAGGCCTGTGGGTCAAGGGCAGGGAGTGACAGTGACACTCCAAGGTGCCACTCCTGGGGAGGTCTGCATCTATGCTGGTAGAAATCCGTGAATCCCCAGTTTGGCTGCCACGCTGCAGCTTAGCCCCTGCCCAGGTGGCCCTTTTTTGGCCTGGATTTCAAAAGCTAAGTTCTAGTTGTCACTACCATTTCCCCTCATGTGAGTACACTGTCCCCTCCCCCTCTTAAAGGCTCACCAAAAGAGCCCTAGGCAAAGCTTTGGGTCTCCTCCGGGGTGATGAAACAAACCTGCCTTGTTTAGAAAGTGGGAGTAACTGCAACAATAGTGCCGGGTTCTGAGAGCCCGCTGAGTGCGGGGCCTGGTGGGCAGTCTCCTCCGGTACTCCAGCAGGGTGGGCCTCCTGGTTTCAAGGTCATAGGAGAGAAAATAAATGGGGGCGGGGGGTGGGTGGCCTGCTGGAAGTCACACAGCTTGTGGGTGGCAGAGCTGGACCAATTATACCCACCCCCCCGGGGGTCCCAGGAATGAAGGGAACATCGAGGTGGGAGCTCCTTGTGCACTGGGAGGTTCAGAGAGGTGGGACGTTGGGCTGGTGCGGCAGCTGGCAGCACCCCCAAGAGCCACCCAGGGCTGCCGCCTACCCCTGGACCCACTCCACCCCAGTGCCTTTAGTCAGCCTGAGCCTCTCACCTCTGCCCCCGTCTCTCCCTCTCTCCGTCTGCCAGAACTGCAGGTCCCGTGGGAGGGGCGGGGCATGGGCTCCCCAGGACTGCGTGCCCACGAGCTGCATGAAAAGTGACTTCCTAGGGACATGCTCACTGTACAAAGAGCTTTCTCCCCAAGTCCCAGGACCCCTGCCCCAGACTTCCCAAGGGCTGTGTGCTTGCCCAGGCCCCACTATTAGTTCCCAGAGAGAAATCATAGACTATGAAGCTCAACTCTACCCCTTGTCAGACAGGGAGCCCAAGGTCCAGCAGGGGGTGGGAATGAGGTGGAGCTCGCCCAGGGTCACCCAAAGGGCAGAAGCAGAGACCTAGGCCTTCAAGGCCTCCAGGTCCTGAGTGGCAGTCACAGCTGCCCGGCTGTAAATAGCAGCGGCTGCTGCCCTCAGAGGCGGGGAAGTGGCAGCTGGTGCCTTCCTGGTTATCCCTCTGAGCCCACCACTCACCCCTGGCAGAAGGCAGGGTTCCTGAGGGGTCCCCTCCCCAACCCCTGAGGAAAGCTAGTGGTCTCCTACCCCTACCCTGTAATCAGGCCTTCAGTCCTGCGTTTGTCATGCAAATGTTCAGGATTCCGGAGTGAGCCGGCAGGAACTGCTCCCTACCGTGGTGAGGGCTCAGGTCGGGTTTCCCTAACTTCCTAAGGTTCCCCTAACTTTCCAGCAAGTGCCCCTGCTGACAGGCCCCACTGCCTCTCAGTCCCGGAGGCCTGACCACGCCCCTGGAGCAGACAGGAGCTCAAGGGCTGTTTCCTGGGGCCCCAGAGAGCAGCGCGGCTGGCCCCCTGCCCCGGTGGAAGCCACTGGCAGGCTGGTGCTTGCAGCACTGGATGATGACCCTCAACGGGCTGAGCGCTGGGTGCTCCACGGGCACCAAGGAAGTGAAGCCCGGGCCGCATAAGTGCTCACCAGGCCACAGGGCCCCAGGACAGGCACTTTGGGGGCACAAGCCCAGTGACAAGGGTCTGGGTCGTGTAACAGCCTCATGGCTCTGTCCGGAGAAGTGGGAACAGTGCGGTGTGGCTGGAGTGGGGTGAAAGGCAGCTGGGCCTAGACAGATCGGCCTCAAATGCCAGCCAGGGAGTCAGCACCTCCAGCCAGCAGGAGCCCAGCCAAAACAGCCAGTCCGGGCCTTCACTGCAGGCCTCTGCCTGCTCCACCCACTCGACCACCCAACCCCAGTGGCTGGCACAGTGGCCTGCCATGGTCAGCGACCCCTCCGTCACCACTCCAAGCCCGCTGGATGATAGCCAGTGCTGCCGGGAATTCCCATTCGCCTGCCCACCCAGCGTGCGGCCCTTCCCTTTCCTCCTGAGAAAGTCCCTGTCCCAGAGCCCAAGCCCTGCCGGGAATCTCAGTCTCCAGCCAGCCCCAGTGGGCCTTCGGGTCATGGCCAGGAGCTTTGGGGCAGAGCAGGGAGGGCCGGGCACAGGGCAGCCCTCCCTGGGAGTTCCGCCAGCTCACCTGGGTTGAACCCCACACTGGCCCCTCTTCCTCCACTGGGAAGATGCTGCCCTGCCCGGCTCCAGGGGCTCCGAGTCAGGGACCCTAGAGCCCTGTGCTCTGGGACATCTAGTCTTAAGGGGGAGACCAGCATTTTTTTTTAATGAACCAGAATAAGATAGAAAATACCACACTCCATCACACAGAGTAAATAACGTCTGCTGACACATTCATTTCAGAGATGTAGACTGTGTGTCCTGGGCCACAATATCCAATATGTTTCTTACTGTGGATCAAGTTCAAAAATGGGGAAGCCGCAGGTCCGGTGGGTGCGCCGGGTGGAAGGGCAGCCCAGGCACCGTTCACTCCGTAGGGCTGGGGCTCGAGGAAGGGGGGAGACTCAGATGCCAGCCCGGCTCTGCCCCAACTTGCTGTGTGACTGTGGGGAGTCCCTTTGTTTCCCAAAGACTCCCCCACTCACCTGCCTGTGAAGCGGGGTCGGAGCGCCTCGCTGCCCGCGGGGCTGCTGTGCCCCCGAAGCTGAGGGCTGCTCGGGGAGGTGGGGAGCTTTGAAGAGGGTTTCCGGAGGCCCTGTGGTGACCCTCGCTACCCCTTCCTCTGGCCTCCCAGGCCTCCAGGCCCAAGGTCAGCATCCCCCTCTCAGCCATTATCGAGGTCCGCACCACCATGCCCCTGGAGATGCCAGAGAAGGACAACACGTTTGTGCTCAAGGTGAGTCCCGCCCTGGCCCCGCAGGTCCTTGGGCTGCCCCGGCCACCTCTCTCACGGGCCACCTCTCTCACGGGCGGCACAGCGTGAGGCCATTGCAGGGGAGGGAAAGGGGCCAGCAGCAGGGCAGCGAGAGGGATCCCTGGTTGAGAGTCTTAGGACCCTACACAGGTGGCGAGCACCCAGCTGGGACTTAAATCCTGGCCTGGGCTCTGGAGCCAAGGGCCCCGGGAATCACCCCCCACCTGGGGCCCGTTCCTGTTTCCTCCTGGGCCTCGGTGAAGCTCCTGGGTTTCACTTCTCCCCCCTCCCCTCCCCCTCCCCCACAGGCGCCAGCACATGCCCACCCCCTGGGCCGGCGAGCTGGTCGCCAGCCTGCAGCAGTTACACTCACGCTCCTGTCTCAGAGCCCTGGAGCGTGGGAAGCCACCTGGTCCCACAGAGGGCCCAGAGGCTCTAAGGGTGGATGGTGGGGGCAGGGGGTAGGCACCCTGCTGGGGCTGAGCGCAGCTCTTCCCCTTGCCGGGACCGTGTCATGGGGGCGGTCTGCTCAGCTTGCTGAGGACAGACAGGCTGCCGGCCACCAGGACTGTGCCCTGTGCCTCTTCCTCAGAGGATGAGAGGACATTTGTGAGGCCCACTCCCGGGAACCTGGTCCCACCCACCCAAAGCTGCATGGAGCCCCCACCCTCCCCTCCAGGCTCCCGGCTGGGTTTATGCTTTGTTCGCCCTTATTTATTCAGTCACGAACTCCCTTATTCTAAATGAAACATTTGCCAACCCCACACCCTGAGTCACCCTGGCTGGGGGCTGAGGATGCAGTCCCTCCCTGCCTGGCTCGCTCTTCTGCTGGGGAGATGGGTCCAGAGCCTCGTTCCCGACAGCCGAGTGGCCGCTGTGCTACTGATTACACTGCGGAGCCCTGAGGCCGAGGAGTTCGGAGCCAGCCCCTCTCTGGGCCTCAGTTTCCCCATCTGTTCAGAGAGGGGCTGGAGGTGGTCTCCAAGAACCCTCCCAGCTCGGCGATGCTGGGAAGCCGAGGGCACACAGCCTCTCAGAGACCCCGGTTCACATCCCGCCACTGCCACAGAGTGCTAGTGGGACTTGAACCCTGTTGCCTGACCTCTCTGGGCCTATTTGCTCACCTGTACGACGGGGAGCACACACTGCCTCCCTCCTGTTGGAGTGAGGCCATCAGACAACAAACAGGCAGAGGGACACTCCAGCCTGCCCCAGGCGAGGGCTAGGCCTGTCCTCTTTCCCCCGTGGGGTCCGCGGGTCCCAGGGGTGTGGCTTCAGAGGCAGAGCTCCAGGCACTCGGCAGGGGAGCCCTCAACCAGAGTGCTGAGCCAGCTGGCCCCTCGGCTGCCCAGAGGGCTGCGGGGTCCTTTCAGCCCAAGTCCAGGGTGCCGGCCCGCCGCTCCCCAGCCAGCACGGCCCGCTCTGAGGCCACACATCCAGTGCCTGGGGACTTGAGGTCAGCAGAGCTGAGCGTCATCCCCAGTCATCCCCAGCGGTGGGCCCAGAGGAAGGGGCTGCTGAGGGCTCAGGGTGGGGGCTCCACCCAGGACCTTGGCTCGGGTTCAGGGTGGTGCTTGGTGGTGACGCCCTGCCCTCCCTGCCGCTCACACCCATGAGCCTCGGTGGGAGAGGGGCAGGGTGAGCTGCCTATCTCGGGTCTAGAGCCCCCACCGTGGGTGGAGGGGGCTGGGGTACCGACCGCTTTCTGGACTCCTGGCCCCGCTTCCCCAGGTGGAGAATGGAGCAGAGTACATCCTGGAGACCATCGACTCCCTGCAGAAGCACTCGTGGGTGGCGGACATCCAGGGCTGCGTGGATCCCGGGTGAGTGCCCGAGCAACCCTGGGACGGGTGAGCAGGAGAGGGCAGCGCTCTGGTGCTGAGCTCCAGAGACGGCTCTCCTCGTGGCCGCTCATCTGTCCCCACCCTGGGGCTCAGAAGCCGTGCCGGTAGAAGGGCTCACCATCTCCAAGGCTGAAAGAAACTGTGGACTAGGGGCAGGAGAGGGCGGAGAAAACCGCCCAGCAAAGGGCATGGAGCTGTGGGTGAACTGGGGCCTGCCGGGAACACCGAGGCCTTCAAGCAGTTAGAATTAGAGCTGGTGAAGAGGGGACTTTGATGAGAGCCGGGGAGGCTGGCACGTCGGGGCAGCGGGGAGCCATGCACGGCTGGCAGTGAGCAGAGGGCAGCCACGGTCAGCCACGGTCAGCCGCGTGCAGGAAGAGCGACGGGGAGGCTGGCTGTGCCGTGCAGGAGAGGCCTCGAGGCCCAGGGTAGGAGGGGCGGGCGGACCAGCAGCAGAGCATTTGGCAGCAGCTCCCCTGGCTAATGGGGTGAGCCAAGCCCCGGGGGGGAGGGGCTGCTGCTTTCTAATTAACAGCTTCATTTAAGGAAGCACGATTAAAGTCCTGAGCGCCTCCCCGGCCCCCTGATTCCCAAAGTGGTTATAATCCCTCCCCTGCCACCCTCCCAACCATCTGCTCTGCAGACCCTTTCCCTGGACCCTGTGAAGGTGAGCCTTGCAGCATGTTAGAGCTGGCAGGGTCCCGGGCACCCCGGGTTGCAGATGGGGAGACAAAGGCCTTGGGCCGGGAGGGGAGCTGCCCTGGTCCCATTTGTGGGGCTCCATGGGGTCCGAGGAGGAGGCCAGCCCTTTGTAGGTTAGTGGGGCAGGGGTCATGTGACCTCTAGGAGGACTGCACCCACTTGGAGATCTCTCTTATATGCCCATTCACCCATGGTGGCCACAGAACAAGCTGAGGGTGTGACAGAGGGACATGGAGGCACAGGGACCTCAGATGAGCTGCCGCCCAGTTCTGTGAGGAGCCCACAGTCCAAATCCCACAGCTGAGCACAGTTTTGCTTTCTCGTCTCCACAGGGACAGCGAGGAAGACACAGAGCTCTCCTGCGCCCGGGGGGGCTGTCTGGCCAGCCGAGTGGCCTCCTGCAGCTGTGAGCTCCTCACGGAGGGTAGGCGGGTACAGAGCTGACTGGCCTCATGGGAGGCAGGGCTGGAGGGGTGGTCACTCCCCACATGGCCAGACAGGCAGACATGCTTCTTACTGCCACTTCTCCCGCAGTGGACCTGCCCCGGCCCTCAGAGACAACGGCAGCTGTGGTGACGGCCCCACACAGCCGAGCTCGAGACGCCATCAGCGAGTCACTAGTCCACGTCCCACTGGAGTCCTTCCTGGAGACCCTGGAATCCCCGGGCGGCAGCAGTGACGACGGCAATAACACAGGTGCGGTGGGGCAGCCTGCGTCCCCAGCCCGCCTTCCTGCGCCCCCAGCCCGGGGCACAGGCACCCCAGCTCCCTCCGGAGCCCCTCCTGGGCCTCAGAAGCTGGGACATTTCCTCCCACCGGGGCCTGTGCACAGCAGCTCAGAATTCGGGCTTTGTAGGCAAGTCCCGGAACAAGACCCTGGTCTCGATAGAAAATGCTCGCAGAAGGGGTGTGGGGGTCAGAACCAGGGATTGTGGCAAGCGGACTGGACTTGTTCCCAGGTCTGTTGCTCCTCTCTGTGCCTCAGCTGGCGGAGCAGGTTTCACTAGTGGGAGGGGCCCGCTCCGGCCCCAACAGCGTTATCCAAACAGCATTCTACCTGTAAAAACCCAACAAGATACTGCACATCCTTGTCCTCCTGCCCCTCACGCCCCTCCCTCTGTCATCCTCTCCAGGGGAGGAGGGAGCGGAGCCTGAGCCCAAAGAGGCACCGGAGCTGGAGCTCGCTGACTACCCCTGGTTCCACGGGACCCTGTCCAGGGTCAGGGCGGCGCAGCTGGTGCTGGCAGGCGGGTCCCGCAGCCATGGCCTCTTCGTGATCCGCCAGAGTGAGACTCGGCCTGGGGAGTACGTGCTGACTTTCAACTTCCAAGGCAAGGCCAAGGCAAGTGTGCAGAGGGACCATGGGGGAGAGGGGGTGACCCTGGTCCTGAGGCCGCGCCCACACCCCAGCAGCAGGCTCCATGGGTGCAGGTGCGGCTGAGCCCGGCCTCCCTGGACACGCTCTCTGAACCACCTGGGCCCCTCCACCCTCTCTGCTCCAGATCCGGCTTCTCCATTATCCAGAGAGGGAGTCACCTCCTGGTGGCCTAGCACTCAGGAGGCCAGGCCCTTCTGAGAACCTAGCTTTGACCCCTCAGAAGCACAGGGGCTTCTGCAGGTCTGTGCCAAGAGCCACCTCAGTGCAGAGCCGGGGTCAACCAAGACCCTTTGGCCCCTCCTACTCCCAGACAGCCCCACCTCTAGCCTCCTCAGGTCAGGTCACCACCCCTTCCTGCGCCCCAGCCCCAGGCCAGGCCTGTGCTCAGGCCAAGGGACGCGGAAGGGAACCACACACAGGCCCCTAGAAGACGAAACAGGGGAGGAGGAGCTGGGCCGGGCAGGAGGGCCGTGGGTCTGGAGGGCCAGGAGAGGCCCCTGACCCTGCCAGCGGGAGTAGCGGGAGGCCGTGACCCGGAATGTGCAGTGGAGGGAGAATGTTTACAGTGCCGGGGAAGAGCAGTCCAGACAGGGCCCGGTGCAGGTGCGACGGTGCACCCAAAGACTGGGCTGTCTCAGACGGACGTTGCGTGCTAATGTGCTGGCCTGAGGCACACAGGGAAACGCGACCGTGGGGAGCTCCAGTGTGACCAGAATGGGCAGGAACCTCAACCCCCGCCCCCACACCATCCTGAGTTTGTGATAAGGAAACAGACCTAACCCTGGATTCCTTCCCACCCCACACACAGCTCCTGCCAGTTCCTGCTGGAGGAGGGGCACTCCAGCACTCCCGGCCCAGGCCTACCCTGGTGGTCAGTGCCCCCGCCCCCAGCTGACCCAGTGCCAGCCCTCCCCTCGCTCCCTGGGCCTATGTCCTTGCGGTGTTGTCACTTTGCGGAGGAGGCAGCCCCTCTCCAGGGACACCTCCTTGGAAAGCAGCCGCCCTTACCAGTTCCTCTGACAACCAGGCACTTAACACCGCCCCTGGCAACCCCAAGTTTACTTCCTGCCAGCACCGCCCCTGGCAGCCTCCCTGAAGGGCCTGGATCGGACTCGTGCCCGAGCCGGAGACCAGGATGGTGCCCAGCCAATCCAGGGGCACGGGTGGCATGGGAGGAGGAAGCGCTGGACACTCCTGTCCTTCCGGGGGCAAGTCCCAGCATCGAACTCACTCACACTAGCTCCCGCCCCGTCAGAGCGGTCCGAGATAAGTTAGTAGCGGGGTACAGCAGGACCCCCTGCCTTCTGCTCGCACTCCCCCCGAGAAGAGGGACCTTGGCCTTCTTTTCACCTCCAGTAGTAAATGTCTGAAGTGTTTTCCCGGAGATCGAGATGCACCCCTTGCTTCGGGCTCCACCCTGGGGCCCTGGGTCTCCACCCCCGGAGGCTCTGCCCTGGGTGCTGTTAGGCCCCCAGGTTTGCTCTCACCGTTGTGTCGACTTCTGGCCCTGCGGGTGGGCAGGTCAATGGTGGAGCCAGCCCACCATCCTAGCCCTGGGCTTCTGTCCTTTATACGGGGCTAGGCCAGCACCCCACACCCCCCGCCCCCCCGGGCTTGAGGCCCTGAAACCTTCCTATCACTTCCCCTCTTGCCATACACACCCAGGACAGCCACTCTCCCTCCTGTGGGGTGCGTACTGAGCACAGTAAGGCTCGCCCTAGAGACCACAGGCTGTGGCTCACCCGCCCGAGGCAGCTGCCCCGTGTGGGCCCTGGGGCAGCAGCCTGTGCCCCACGCTCCGCGTGCAGCCACTTCGGCCACATCGGGAAGCACACACCGTCACCCCCCGCCAGCCCGCCTCAGCGCGGTTTCCAGCCCTCTGGGCTCTGGCCCTGTGGGGACAGCAGGGTGGAGAGTCACACAGACGTGAGCTCTGTGCCTCGTGACAGTGGCCGAGTCACTCCTTCCCTGTGCCGCAGTTCCCCCCCCCCCCCCCGTCTCTGATATGGGGGCTGTGAAGTCTGCCTCGTTAGGGCTCTGGGAGACTCTACATGGGGAGCGTGAGGGGCGCGATGTGGGTGCTTCCAACAGAGGAGCAGAGGTCTACGCCCCTCAGCCCCAGCCCGTGTCTGCTGCCCACCCATTCCCCACCCCCACCCCAGGAGTGACCCCACCCTGAGGTGGGGCTCACAGGGTAGGTGCCTGCTCTGACATGCCCCCCGGGGGTCTCTGTGAGACTCGGTCCTCCCCGTGGCCCCCAGAGGCACTTGCCAGTGCGGGGCCCCAGCGCTGACTGTGCATCTGTGCCCACAGCACTTGCGCCTGTCCCTGAATGGCCACGGGCAGTGCCACGTGCAGCACCTGTGGTTCCAGTCCGTGCTCGACATGCTGCGGCACTTCCACACCCACCCCATCCCATTGGAGTCCGGTGGCTCGGCAGACATCACCCTGCGCAGCTACGTGCGGGCCCAGGGCCCCCCACCCGGTAAGACGCCCCGCCGGCGGGAGCGATGGCTCAAGGGGGCAGACAGATGGGCAGTGGGAGACGGGGGTCGCCCTGCAGCGCATCCTGGCTGGGCTAGCTCCAGTGGGGTGAGGGCCAGGACTCCCGTGGGCAGCTGTAAGCAATCCGGGCCATCAGGATTGGACACGGGCGTGTCCCGAGTGATTCCTGGCGGCGGGCGGAGGGAAGTTGCTGGGAGGCAGCACCCGGCAGTCCCTGGACACAGGTGGGGCTCTGCGCTGAGCTGCGGATGGAGGGCGCGGCGGAGGGGCGAGTGCGGGTGTCCCTCGCGTGCGGGTTGAGCACCATGGTGCGTGCGCAGTGCCGCCTGTACCCGTGATACTGTCCGGGGGCGTGGGCTGGAACCTGGAGGGCTGAATTCGGGTCCTGACTCCCTGTGTGACCCCAGGCCACCCCATTCCTCCGGGTCTCTGGTCCCAGTCTGACACGCTGTGACTAGGGAACCCAGCCTGGGCACTGATGCGCTGGGTCCCATTGCAGAGCCGGGGCCCTCGCCCAGCGCCGTGCCTGCGCCCCCCGCCTGCTGGAACGAGCCGGCAGGCCAGCATTACTTCGCCAGCCTCGCTGCCACCTGCCCGCCTGCCTCGCCCTCGGAGGCCGGTGGCGCCTCGTCCTCCTCCGCCTCGTCATCCTCAGCTGCATCCCTGCCCGCCGCCCCGCGCGCCGCCGCGGAGGGCCCGCCGAGCGCGCGCAGCCGCAGCAACAGCGCGGAGCGGCTGCTGGAGGCGGCGAGCGCTGCAGAGGAGCCCCCTGAGGCCGCGCCCGGCGAAGGATCGCGCGGCCGCACGCGTGCGGTGGAGAACCAGTACTCCTTCTACTAGCCCGGCGGCGCGGGCGGCGCCCAGACCCTGGGGCCTCCCGGACCCGCCCGCGGCCGCCCCCGTGTCCATCCGTCCAGCGGACCCTGTCGGCCCCAGTCTGGGCGCTGGGTGGGAAAAGCGAAGCTCTTCAATGAAGACATAAATGTTATTAAAGAGCCTGTTTTAGGGACTGCACCTGGCTCTCCTGTGGTCTTTTCTCTTGCCTTGGCCGTGGGCACCGCTCCTTCTGGCACTGCAGGGGAGAGGGGGAAACCACACGTGGGTATGCCGTGGCCTGACGCCGAGTGCTTCCCACCCAGCTCAGTCTTGGGTGGGACCCTGCTCCCCATTAGCAAGGAGACAGTCTTAGCGAAAAGACAGTCGGCAGTCCTCGAATGAGTCACAGAGATAAAGCACGAAGTCAAAGACTCCGAGACTGCCTCGGGCTGGGAGGGGCGGGGGTGGAGGAGGGGGCTTTACAGTGGAGCTGTGAGAGAGGGGTTGGGGAAGGGGTGGCCTGAGCAGAGGCTCAGGGGCAAGAACAGTGCCACAGAGGGTAGGGGAAGAAGAATGGAGAGGGGGCCAGATCCTGGGACTTGAATACCGGCATGAGATGGACTGTGGCTAAGAAATAGTAAGAGGATCCTTGGGCAGGTCAGTGGGGTGGTAGGCGGGATTCCTGCACAGGGGCCCATTTGGGGGTTGGACATTGGGACAGCTGGTTTCCCAACTTTGACCTAGACTCGAACTTGGAAGTGGCCTAGAGGGCCCTCTTCCCACCTTTACCTCCACCACCAATCCCTGCCTCCTTGCAGGTGAAGGAGGCTCAGCTGTGGCTCCAATGTCCCCAGGCCCTGGAGACACAGCCTGGTCAGGGTCCCAGCACTCCCTCTGAGGAGGATCTTGCTCCTGCTGAGCCGAGGAGCACCTCCGCCTCTCCCAACCCAAGCTCTGCCTCCCGACCTGGCGTCACAGACCCGTGGTTCCCCTGACCTGGAGCGAGCGCCCTTGCAGAGCCTGCGTCTGTGATGTGCATTTCACAGTGGGCTCCCAGGGCTCTGCTGCTCCAGCCTCCCGGTCCTGACCCACAGAATGACAGGGGGAATGGCCGAGCTGGCACTCCTGCGGCAGCCCTGGACAGGGAGGACACAAGGCCAGCGCTCCGGCCAGCAGCCTGTACCTTGGCTTCTGGCATCTCCATCCGTGTGGCTGGAGCCTCTCTGCACTGTCGCCCCTGTGCTCTCATGGCTTGGGGTCCATGCCAAGCCAAGTGCAAGCCCCCAGCCCACCCTGACAGGAGCAGAGATGGCTCTGGAGTGAGGCTCAGACTGGGCAGAGGCCCAGGGACTGGCGAAAGCTCTGTTTGGCCACCTCTGCCTCAGTCAGCTGGACTACAGTTCCCCACTCCCGCAAGACGGCTGAGTGGCAGACATTGCCCCCAATCCTGAGGCTTCATCCTCTCCCTCAGTGGACCTGCCCCTTGGAAGTGTTCAGGGTGGCCTCAAGGGTGGGGTTAAGACGACACACAGAGTGTACGTCATCCCTCAGGTTCTACCACCGCTTCTTCCTGAGACACAGCCAGCCGCTGGGGGGTCACTTTCCCTGCTGAGCGCCCGGAGCAGACACCTAGGCACGGAAGTGCGCGAGGCACTGGCAGCTGTTGCTTTGCCGAACTGGGGGTCCAGGGCGTGGGAACGTCGGAGAGTCGGCGCCAGCTCCAGGGTGGCAGTCAGGCGTTGTTCCTAGGGTTTTCCCAGTTAAAGTGAATTCAGGAGAGAGTAGAAGAGCAGACGACAGCCACCACCCCAGGCTCTCCCGGGGACATTGCACTAAGACCCAGCAGCAGGAGGTCAAGTGAAAAGCAGGCTGTCCTCACAGGGTGGTCCCACAACAGAACGCTCAGGCCCGTCACTCAAAGTGGTGCTTCCAGAAAGCCAGACTCAGCAGGACCCTGGAGAAACCACAGCCGGTGCACACACGGCCGCAGCTTTTTCAGGGGGTTTCCTTTATTCCTCAGCAAGCGTTTCAGGTGCCCACTCTGTGCCAGGCCAGCCCGTGGGGTAGCTGGGCAGGCAGCCAGGCAGGTCCATCACAGAGGGCTGGCCCCGCACTGAGGCCATATGGAGGCCGTGCCCCAGCTGACTGAGGGCACTGGGGTGGGAGAAGGGCTGCAAGGGATGGGAGCGGGACACGAGACCAGCTCGGCTGAAAGGGCCTCGAGCGCCAGACCAGAACCAGAGCCAGAGCCAGTTTGAAATGGAAGCCGGAATGGGGTCAGTGTTGTGTTTTAAGTAGATCACTCTGGGGTCAGGGTTAGGGGTGGGCGGATGGATTGAGGTCAGGGGTCCAGGGAGGCTGGGTTGAGTCTGGGGGAGGGGCGATGTGCTGGGCCGGGCAAAGGAGGAGGACGAGAACACGGATGGAGGACAGAGCATCCGCAGGCTGAGGGTGGGGAGAGTGGAAAAGATGGAGGATCTCTGGCTGGAGGACAGTAGGACCCCTGCTGGGTTCCCTTGGGTAGCTCCACTGGAGAAGTGCTGCGGAGAACCCGGAATTCAGTCCCACATGTGGGAGAGGAGACACATCTTGCCGTCTCCATCAGGGGACCCCCAGGGACTGTCAGCGTCTCTCTAGCCTTGGACCACCCCATCCAACACTGCTGTCAGATCCCCCAGTTCTTTCCTCGGGAAGGAAGTGGGGCTAGGTGTCCCTTGCCCTCAGACGGGTAATTTTAGCAACCCGAAGTCTCCAAGGTGAAGAGCCCAGAGCCATGGACAGGTACGCCACTGCCATGGACGCACTCTCCTGGGAGGGGCCCTCGACCCACAGTGAGGCTAGGATTGGGCCCATGGGCTTGACCAAGGGTGACCTGGTCTCGGGGGGGCTACAGGGTGAACAGATGGTACAGGGTCTCCCTGGGAGAGCCCCCAGGCCTGACCACACAAAAGGGTTTTCCCTTTCTCAGCCCACCAGCCAGACAAAGAAATGGGAAAGTGCTCTGCGTCCCACTCCCAGACATGGAGCTAAACTTGCTCCAAGGAGGCCATTGCCATGAGAATGCAGGCGTGTGTGCAGGGGGCGGGGTGGGGTGGGCAGGGTGTCCACACCTGTGTCTGCCCCATCGCAATGCAGAGCCGGGTATTTTATGGCCCTGGAAGTGAACGTTCCTTCAGAAATGAAATTGACGTACCAATTCAAAGAAACAATTTCAAATAAATGACTTGAATAGATAGTTTTCTCTGGCAGGTGCCCTAACTCAAGCAAGTTTGAGGCTTTGGGGGTAAAAGAAACAGAATTCCTGGGACCTAGAGGGGTTCTTACATGCTTAGTGTTAAGAGATAGTAAAGCAATGCCCTAATACAAATTTTGAGCAATATATCTCATTCTCCCCAAATCCTTTAAAAATAGGGTGCGGGGAGCTGCATCTGACCGAAACTGCCACGCTTTGGGGAGCAAGTCGCTGCAGTGACCTCCCCCAAAAGGTCAGGGGTTCTTAGTCCCTTTTGTGCCTCAGACCCCTTGGTGGTCCGGCGAAGCCTAGGGACCCTCGCTCCGAACCAGGTCTTAACACTTGGGAAGTAAAACTTAGGAAGTAAACACATAGAGTTGCCTAGAAAACCACTTCTACTGAAATTCGGTCAAAACATCAAATATAATAAAAAGTAATTAAAATATACTTTGACTTGCGATGTGGTAAAATGTGTGCTTCTTTATTAGCACTCTAAACAGCAAGCTCTAGCAGCGGCTCTAATAACTAGCAGTGTCCAAGAGCGACGGGTGTGAGCGGTGTGAGCGACACTTCAAAGCCTCTGCAACAACCGAGATGTGACGGGGAGACATTCTTGATTCCTACTCGTGGCAAAGTGACACGTGCTTCTAATACAGCTGTGGCTCCTCCTCCAATGAAAGAAATACAGCTTTTAGTTAGAGGTTAATTAGAATAAAGACAGACTTTTATTCCCATTCAAATGCATGGGCTTAGTGAATGGTTTCCTCCATGAACCATCTCAGGACCTCAGGCTAACAATTCTATTCTACCCCTGGCTGCTGTGGCTCAGTGGATTGAGTGCCAGCCTGAGAACTGAAAGGTCACAAGTTCGAGTCCTGGTAAGGCCACATGCCTGGGTTGCAGGCCAGGTCCCTATCTCTGGCACATTGAAGTTTTTTTTTTCTCTCTCCCTGTCTCCAAAAATAAATAAATTAATTTTTTTTTTTTTTAAAAGTCCTGGCTGGTGTGGCTCAGTGAATTGAACACTGGCCTGTGAACCAAAAGGTCGCTGGTTTGAGTCCTGGTCAGGACACATGCCCAGGTTGTGAGCCAAATCCTTTCCCTCTCTCTAAAAATAAGTAAAATAAAATATTTTTAAATAAATGAATAAATAAATAAACAACCCTGCTCTAAAGAATGAAGACAAGTTGCATGTGCTTGAACTACCATGTTCAGAATGACAGAGACGATGGTGTGAAGCCAGACAGGCTAGCTGGTCCCTAGCCTGACAGCTCGCAGCATAAATTAACCTCCTGATCTTCTTTAACATGATCAACAATATTGATTTTGCAAAATAAACTGCACAAGGACCCAGGTCTCAGAGGTGAGAGGAGGGTTCTGGAAAATTCTCTATTACTGAACTTATTCTCCCTCTTTTGTGCTGCATGGAGAGAGCTAATTAAAAGAAAAAATTAAAGGTTTTTATGCCCCTGTAGATCTTTGCATTATAACTTTTAACTTGGAGCTTTGTCCATTGGAAAGATGTTTAGAATTTAATTAAGATTAAAGTTTAGGGGTGGGCTGGGATGGGAGTAAAAGACTGAAAGCTGTACTTGAACAACAAATTAAAAAATAAAAAAGTAAAAAATTTTAAAAAATTAAGGTTTAGTGCCTGGGAGCTTTAAAGAATACCATGAAATTCACGGAAACTGAAAGCAGGTTAGAGGTTCCTGGGGGCTCTGGGGAGGGGGCGGGGGGTTACTGCTTCATGGGCACAGAATTCCTATGTGGGGCGATGGGAAAGTTTTAGAAAGAGACACGGTGATGATTGCGGGACACTGTGAATGCCATTGATGCCACTGAATTAGACACTTAAGATGACTAAAGTGGCAAATTTCATTATTTATATTTTAACACACACACACCCTCCTAACAAACGACTGTGAACTATACACAGAACAGATTGGCAACAATTAAAGCTACTCAG